TAACTGAGCAGATGAGTAATCGAGGTAGATAACTGCATTAAACATTGCCAAAGTACTCATTCGATGCATCAACCACAGCGCAGTATACATGGTTTCGCGAACACCCTTCACAACCACCTCCTTTGCCATTTGACAAAACGGTTGCGTGATGGAAATTACGAGCGCACGAAATCAAACCAATAGAGATTTTCAAAGCATTACCTACTTCTGGCTCTATTGCTGGAATCATCCATTAGCCTCATGGTGACTGATTCCGTCTTGATCCTCCTTACTCAAATAGCACTATCAGGGTCAGTGCACTAACCCGTGTCACTGACATCAAAACGTAGTCATCGATCGCACTCTCCTCTCCACTGATCCAATTCCAACTCACCTAATCAGGTTAGTTCTGCCTTGCCTTAACTTGCCTTTTAAGCACACAGAGATAGACAGACTGCTGGAAATGAACTAAGACTAATAAATATGGATTGAAAATAGGCACGACCATTTTCTAGGTTCTATTTCAGGTCACCCATTACAGACTAGAGAGCGTGACTACACTCTGGCAATGCGTTCCTGCTGCATTAAGTAAGCCTATTAGGCGTCAAGATATTATCAGTCATGCGTCGATATGTTGCGACTACTGAACTGCAGTATTTCTGCCTCCAACACATCAACACGGAGATGACAACACTGCTCACGACTCCGCTCTCCTACAGGTGTGTGTGAGCCGAGCCTACATTGTGCATCATCGCTTTCAAGGGCGCAGTCGCTAGTTAATGAGGCAAAGTATGAAACGTTGGCAGTTCCTGCCTGTATGATTTAATTCTAGCAGGTAGCGCTCATCGTATATATGTTAGACAGGATCAGTTGCATTTGATTTAAAGGGTTGCAGCAATCGTGGTAGTCACCATTATTCGACATTACGCATCGGCATTTGTGCACTACACGATGCCATGTCAACATTTCCAGCTATGAGCGTTGACTTGAAAACAACCTGCTCCATTGTCAGTGTTTTCAAATACGACAAGATGGAGATCATAGCCAAAGACTACGGTAACCGCAGAACCCCGAGTTGTGTGCCCTTCGCAGGTAAGGAACGTCTCATCGGTAAGGCTGTAATGAACCACATGCACAAACAGGCCCTGTGGCTCGTCTACTGACTAACCGAGTCTCCAGATGGCTGACGGTGCTATGGGGACTAAAAAGAGACGTGGGAGAGAAATTTCAGACAATAAAGTAGAATTGTGGAGGGATTTGTTTCAAGGTCTAACATTCTAGAAGGTTGCGAAACCTGCTTTTTGCATGCAGGATAGGGGTAATCAAGGCAGTATAAAAAAGCAAAAAATTAAGGCGCGTCTTTGCAAATTAGCTAGTATCCGCCTAAGCACAAGTCAAAATCCAGGCGCTTGGGGGCATCGAGTCATAGAGAGAAACTTTCTCTGCAACTTTTAATCGGCACCCATGTGATCCAGCATTTCTTCATTCCTTTTCGCCCTTCCCGCTAATCTACTATTTCTCGTACCTTTCCAAAGTCACAAGCACCAGATGCTATGGTGCTGATCTAGT